CTGATGGCTTCAGTTTGATGTCATTCCAAAGGACGACATCATGAAAGGTCAGACCAGTAACAACCAACCAATCTGCCAGGGAAACTGTGTGACAATTGTCCATGCTAAGTAACATGGAGAACCCATGAAAGGTATGTCATTCCATCTGCAGAAATCTGTTTGAACTCATTGAACATCTCTGTCTCTTCAGATGTGGTTCCATCAGATTTCCATCACTTCCCAGACATGAATAAAGAACTGCCCATCAACCATTAAACAAATGGTGATGACCTCCGTTCTGCTGTGGATGATTTTTTTATGTCACACGAAAGAAACCTTCAACACCAGTGGGGTCCAGCAACATTCAAATGTGTGGACCTAAGAGACTGACTGACTGAGTTTGGTTTTACGCCGCTTTTAGCAATATTCCCGCAACATCATGGCAGGGAACACCAGAAATGGGCTTCACACATTGTACCCATGTGGGGATTCGAACCCGGGTCTTCGGTGTGACGAGCCAACGCTTTAACCACTAGGCTACCCCACCGCCGCTGGACCTAAGAGAAGTGTGTGAAATAGCCACTAGCCTGCTAGCCCGTGGCTAGTAAAAATCCAGATGGGCCAGTCAAGTCAAGTCAAGTGTTTATTTCCAGTATGAAGGCCTCAGGCCCATATACAATGCAATATATATACAGTTTTATATACAATAGATTCATTGCAATATTGCCTTAGTTTGCAAAACATAACATTATAGATATACATATGTCACATATATTATGGTGAACAAATATTGTATGTGTGATAGCTATCATCTCAGGTTTTACATGTACTCTCTCTTAATTTATATGCATGCTATAAAAGTTTACTTCAGCTTTTTAACACTAGTGCATTTTCCGTTGATAGAATTGATCTAAATTTATACATGTTCGGATTTTGATGATATATATACGGCAGGTATTTAATTCGTAGACCGCTATATAATGTACAAATAAATAAAAAACGGTACTCGTCTTCAATACCTAAATTACAATATGGACATAAACGTTGAGACTTATCTATTCCTAACCACCTCCCTTCATTATATTTTAATCGTAACAGACCACATCTGAACTTAACCAATATATTTCTAAGTCGTTTGTCAATAATGCAATCTAAATATTTCTCAGGAGCTAAAATGCTTTTATATTCACGATAAATACAATATCTGGAGCTATTATTCAGAGTACAAGTCCAAGATTGGAAGAACATATGAATAGCAACATTTTTAAAGGCATTAATAAAAGAGGATATATCTCCTACAGATTGAAACATCCATACATAACCAAAGCCATGTGAGAATAAGATATTACGTTTATATGATGCATAAGTAGTGTAACCACAGTTAAAATAATATAATTGCATCTTATATACCTTAAGTGGGATCCGTTTTTCATGCATATCTAAAACTCGTAGCCAATATCTTAATGTTTTACACATTGAATTAATATAAAGCGGATACCTGCCGCATTCCCCATAATTGCATTCGGGGTTTGAGGGTTAACATTTAAATATCTTTTACACGCAATTAAACGAACTTTTTCTAATTCAGCAAATGTGTGCATACCCCATATTTCTGCGCCATATAATACGATTGGTTGTATTTGCATGTCAAATATTTTAAAGAAAAGATTACGGTTTACCATTCCGACTTTACTGAGATTAATAATTACTTCTATTAATGCACGTTTACCTCTCGTCGCTAAATCAGCAATACAGCTTCCCATTTTATGATTTGAAGAATATAATACACCAAGGTATTTATAACTATTTACTACTGCAACTCTTTTTCCATTTAAAAATCACTGTTCATGCTTAGCTAAGCGTCCACCCCTTCGAAAAACAACAATATTGGTTTTATCAAGATTCACCATTAAACCAGAATGTTCTGTGAAATCACGTAATATGTTCAGTTGGTTTTGTAATCCAGGAACAGTATCCGATACAAGTACAACATCGTCTGCAAACATGAGAAGTAGAATTTCTAACAAATCAGGAAAAAGTTGTATACCATATTTACCATGTTTTGATAGTTCATCTGACAATTCACTTATGATGAGAGAAAATAATATGGGACTAAGTACACAACCTTGTTTAAAACCCACTTGACAATCAAAATAATTGGTGTATTCATTATTACATCTAACACAAGCTTTTACAGAATGATATATACTGATAATTGAATTTAACATTTTCCTTCCCATACCAGTTTTACATAAACATTTCCATAGCTTTGATCGATCAACAGAATCAAAGGCTTTTTTGAAATCTATGAATGCTACATATAGTTTCTTCTTCTTCTTAAGGAGACACTTTTCTATAATTCCAATTTAAAGTAAAAATATGGTTTACGGTTGAATATCCCTCTCTAAACCCTGTCTGACTCTCTTGCACAACTGGCTGGTGAAGTTTCATGTGGTCATTTTGTAAATATATCAGTCTCTCCGACTTGTTAAGTTATAATACACTTTTAAATCATGCAAGATTATGGTCTGATAAAAATGTTCATCATATTAGCAGCTTAGCGAGGAAACCTGTGTTGACATTCAAATTTCGGGCTAGTGAATTATTTTGTAGGCTTGTAACTTTCAGGCATAGCTAGCCTCACTGGCTAGCATAATTTGGAAACTACTTCGCACACTGCCTAAGAGGCGAATATGGTGAAAAATATTTAGCAACATACTCCATCAACATGGTTTATCACAGTAAGGCTCCGAGCTTTTCTGCCACCCCTTGTGAGTAGTAGCATCTTGATATTTGTAAATGCATTGCAAATGTTGGTGTGGCTATTTTCCAGGAGTGGCTGGACTACACTGAAAGGAATATAGGACATGTGCACCAGTGAAGAAGACGAGTGGCTGCCTTTCACTCAGATATGGAGTGGGCAGGGAATGCATGAGAGACTTCACAAACTGTACCCACATGGGAATAAATACTGTGCTGTTACTGTATGAGGCAAACACTCTAACTACAAGGCCACCTCATCACCCAGAGTATGGATGGTACTTGTTTGAGTGTTTAACTGGGAAAGGAGATAGTGAGTAGAGCGGAACTTGTGGAAAGATGTGCTGACACTACATTGGCCACATATCTGTCCCCTTTTGTCATGGTTTGCCTGGTCCAGACAAGCCACTATTGTCATACACCTGCCAATGGGATATAGCGAAACTCGTAGTTTGGACTGACTGAGTTTAGTTTTACGAAGCTTTTGGCAATATTCCAGAAGAATTATGGCGGGGGACACCGGAAATGTGCATCACACATTTTACCCATTTGGGGAATCGACCTGGGTCTTCGGTGTGCCGAGCGGACGTTTTAACCACTAGGCTACCCCACCGCCCCTCTTAGTTTGGAGCTGAACCTTACATATACTCACTCACTTTAACAGGTCCATATCATTACATCCTGATTGTACAAAGTTGGTAAGTTCACAATGACATGACGTTGATTTTCGTATCCTTTTGATGATAAGGATAATTAAGCTAAGAGATATGAAGCTCAAAATGAAAGAAACTAAAGATAAATATATTAATGTTTAATCTCAACCCTAAACGTTCCCGGACTTTATTCTGTTACTCCAGTGAACTTTGTGTCAACCATCTAGCGGTGATTTCACTGTTATCTATGTAACACCACACATGCCTCCCATAACATGGCTGCAGACTGGGAACAGCTTAATGAATGCTAAAGAGAAATCATCACCACACACTTTGATTTGTGTACATAAAGCTTGTGCAGTCATGATAACCAGACACATGTGCTCCCGACAGCAGGTATCTAGTATCATGTGATGGTTGCTTCAGTAAGGATGCCCAGCAATTCAACAGGAGTTTCTCCAATGCTGCCAAGATGCCCACAATAACAGCACTGCTTTATCTCCCTTTGCTCATCACTGGTGTCAACATTAAGAGTGGTACCTGTGTAAGTTATCCCCCTTTGCTGATGACATCACCGGTGTCAACATTTACAGATTGGTACCCATGTAAGTTATCTCCCTTTGCTGATGTCATCACAGGTGTCAACATTTAAAGAGTGGTAAGTGTAGGTTATCTCCCTTTACTGATGACATCACTGGTGTCAACATTTACAGATTGGTACCCATGTAAGTTATCTCCCTTTGCTGATGTCATCACAGGTGTCAACATTTAAAGAGTGGTAAGTGTAGGTTATCTCCCTTAACTGATGACATCACCGGTGTCAACATTTACAGATTGGCACCCCATGTATGTTATCTCCCTTTGAAGATGTCATCACAGGTGTTAACATTTACAGAGTGGTATCTGTGTAGGTTATCTCCCTTTACTGATGACATCACTGGTGCCAACATTTACAGTGTGGCACCTGTGTAGATTATCTCCCTTTGCTAAAGATATCCCAGTATTCCCCAATGAACCATCAGTGTTGTACCTCTGTGTGAGTGTCATTACAGTATCTGTACATGGGTTTAAGTCAGACAAAGGAGAATGCTTCAGAGTGAACCCATCAGTGTCATTAGTCTTGTGCATCCTATTACACACCTGGACCCTCAAATTAGTCACCTCTTGCCTCTCGATGAAGTTCTATTCTCTCAAAATCATCATGGGGAAAAATCACTCTGAAATAACTTGCTAAACTTTCCACCCTGTTCATTGCAGGAATGTTTCAATGCAATCATACATTCTGACCTGGAATCACCATTGAGCATGACCCCAAAGAAAATAAACGATTCCAGGGGCTTCACGGCAGCTTATATTAAAGATCATGTCGATCTTCATGCTACTGTGGTTAAGCTGACATGACATGGTCTTCAACTCATTTGAGTTGTATATAATCTGATGTTGAGTCTGTGGAATACTTGAACATGTTCAAGGCAAATATATATTTAATGCTAGAAACACCACTAGAAATATTTCAACATTTTCAAGGCATTTCTAAATTGTGAGCTGGAATCAACATTCAGGGAAACACATAATGCTATGAAAGACATGCATGTCATGTTGTCCTACCTTCTGATCAAAGTCAGTTGGCGTGAGGTGGAAGTCATGCAGTGGGACAAAGTAGCCCTCCAGGAGCCCCATCAGCAGCACAAGGTACACTCCGTCGTGGAACTACCAAACAGAGAAGCAACAAGATAAGCATACACTCACAAATAGTCATACAGTTGATAACCTTAAGCATAAAATACAGCCCATTCTCTTGTTTCATCCATGTCTCATTTGTTCAACAGCAAGTTTGGACCAGACAAACTATTTGTTACTTTTACAATGGTCTTCTCCATTGGTGCAAGTGAGTGAGTGAGTTGGGGGGACACCACAAAAGGGACTCACACATAGCTCAATGAAGAACTAAACCTGCTTCTATCCTGTGATCAGCAAACACTGTAACCACAACTCCACCCAACTGCTCCCCTATACTATGGAGTCACACACTTACATCCCAGTCACAGCATAAAGTTGGTCATCCAACTCATCAAATCCTCAGTGATCTCACAACAAGCATTGTCCCTAAGGTGACATAATCCCCCGCCGCAAATTATCAAATCAAACTTAAAAAGTAATGAAAGTGAAGGTCGTAATTTAAGATGAAGTTAAATGTCAACAAAAACATGACCAGTCAACCTCTCTTGATATCTTGATCTGTAGTTGTTCAAACGCACAAATATTTTCAAGACTCACTTTGACCTTGACATAAATGTCTTATGAAATATGCAAAAATAGCAATAAAGAAATTGCTTATTGAAAAACATTCAAGGGAAGTCTTGAAAGTCTATGAAGAAAATCCAGTCAACTGTTCATGAGATATTTCGCTGACAATCTTAACATGCAGTTTAACATGCTGAAATCTTCAAAGTGTCGCTGTGACCTTGAAAATAATGTGAAGGTCACCAAAATCGACTGGACCTTGCACATTCCCTAGATGAAGCTTGGTGTCAAATATGAAGAAAGTCCAGTGAATGGTTCTTGAGATATCTCACTGACAAGCTTAACATGCTGAAATTTCAAAGTGTCGCCATGACCTTGAAAATTAAGTGAAGGTCACCAAAATAGACTGGACCCTGCGCCTTCCCTAGATAAAGCTTGTTGCTGAATATAAAGAAAATCCAGCAAACGGTTCTTGAGATATCTCGCTAAGAAGCTTAACATGCAGGTTAACATACTGAAATCTTTAAAGTGTTGCCATGACCTTGAAAATTAAGTAAAGGTCACCAAAATCGACTGGACCCTGCACCTTACCTAGATAAAGCTTGGTTTTGAATATGAAGAATATTCCAGTGAACGGTTCTTGAGATATCTCGCTGACAAGGGTAAAACATGAAAATGCCCTTGTGACCTTAAAATGAAGGTCAAGGTCACCAAACCTGACCAGGATCTTTCTTTTTACTGTGATGAACCTAGGTACCAAATATGATAAGAATCCAGTCAACGGTTCTCAAGATATTCCAATTCGTATGTACATACGGACGAGGGAGGGAGGGACGGACGGACGGAGCCTAATACTATATCCCCCGCTTCGCGCTAAACGCTCGGCGGGGGATAATTAGCAAGGATACCTGAGAACACGTGCCACCTGCCAAGATGCTATTGGTAAAAAACTGTCTAAAATGGTTTGTGTGTTACCGGAAAAGACAACTGTCATAGCAACTTCATTCAATTTCAAGACAAACCGATCAGGAAAAACACTGTGCATGAAATATTTCAGTGCCCAGCTCATGTGTTGTTTTGGTGTATTTACAAAGAAATATCTTTAACCGACACGTTTCACAGTGATTGTGTTCATATAGAACAGCATCTTTGTTTAATCTCCAAGTGCAATACTAATTGATACAATGAGAGATAGCAGGGAAATGAAATGAAAAATTAGTACTCCTAGACAGCAATGGAAATCTCAGCTATCAATGCATTGATGAAATACTGCAAACTCACTGTATTCATCAGCCCTTATGTTGTTTCCAACAATACTTAATATTGCTGGGTGTGGCGTAAAACTAAACTCACTCACTCACTCCAACAATACTTCCTTAACTACTGCAGCATTCAAATCTAACAAATAGTTCTAACACTACCACTGACCTGAATGTAATATACCTACATCTGCAACCAACGGACATCTTTGACAGGTCTTTATTGCAGATTTATAATTATGATACATTCTTGACTTTATTGATAATTGAAGAAACAACATGTAGAATTTATGAGTTGGTCATAAAAGTTTTATCAATAGTTCTTCATACATCTGATTCATTTTGTTTTCAAATTCTGACAACAAAATACTAAATGTACCATGCATCTATCATAGAAGCAGTTACTCGGTTGCAGCATAGACACCAGTCCTCATACTTTGAAATAACAGATTTAGCTGTAATATTCTATCTCTCATAAAGGGGGCCCATCAGTCAGTGCTATGAGTCATAATATCCGTTAATATATTGATCCATTGCGACAAAACTCTGATACCAATTAAAGCTCTTAAAAAAGTAGTAACTTACAGAGATTTGTCTCAACAAACAACAAATCAAATCATACTACTTACCCTAGAGGATGTGTTTGATACATAAATAGAATTACATGACATCTATATCCTATTGTTTTGGTAACATGACGCTGACAATATAATTTCTCTTACAGACAATCTACTATCTAGAACTTTATATCCTGACTTTCATTCAACAGTACTCAAAAACAACTGTAGCATTATGTCCGTATATATATAGGAATTAATATGCTATAGAATTTTTGAATATCAAATATTGTTGTAATGACATAAACATAGAGAAAAAGGATTGACATTGATTTGTTTGGGTGGGAATCAGTTTACAGATGGGAAACACAAAAAGCTAGGTCTACAAAAAACTATATATGAGCGTTGTCATGACAATTATAATCATCTGATTATTGTGCAAGTAGAGTCAATGACTGCAAGTCAGCAAAATGTAAACCATATTATATTTAATACACTAAAATTTAAACACATTTTCCTCTATTCAAAATTTAAAAAATACCATTTTAATGTATATCCTTATATCCATCCAAGTGTCTATAGAGAACCATCACTATACAATAAAGAAAGTTCATCATCCATAAAGACTTGTCATTCCTATTACATTTACTTGCAACTTCTAGACTGCTTCTCAAACAGTTCATGACAACATTTGTCCGTTTTAGGTTGGACCGTCCGAATCAGCACACCTAGTGGGTTAATAAAGGCAATATAACTTGAAAAGGATCGCCCATTTAAGTTCGTTTTGTTTGTTTGTTGTTTAATGCCGCACCCAGCAATATTCCAGCTATATCAGGGGTTCAAAAATCCCATCGCCCGGGACAAGTCAGTTTTCATTTCGGGCAATCAAATAATGGTATCTTTCTTGTTCGTGGGCTACTAGATAATTTCCACTTATGCTTTCAAACTGCAAATTAAATTTCATATCAAAATGTAGCTACTAAATTTTGCAATGATAATAAAGTAGAGTTATCTTTCTTTGCTATTTATCACTTTTCAATAAATAGTCCAGTAAACATTAACATCAAATACCATGTTGATTTATTCTTTCATAATTATATCATCATGATTTTGTCATAAAATCAGGGCAAGTGGAAAATTAGTCAGGACAAGTTACTTTCTTAAAGTCACTTGCCCTGTGGCAAGTGTTTTTTTAAACAAATTTTGCACCTCTGTATATGGTGGAAACATTTCCAAAGGTGCTTGGCAAGTGTACAACATGAAACACACGACATAAATCACTATTTGAAATCACCCAATATACTGGCAATGACATTGTGATTTGTATTGTGGAAAGATTTGGATGGTTGTTGTTTAACGCCGCACCCAGCAATATTCCAGCTATATGGCAACAGTCTGTCAATAATTGAGTCTGGACCAGACAATCCAGTGATCAACAGCATGAGCATCTATCTATGCAATTGGGATACAATGACATGTGACCAGGAAGTCAGCAAGTCTGACCACCTGATCCCATTAGTCATCTCTTATGACAAGTATGGGTTAGTGAAGACCAATTCTAAACCCAATTTTCACGGGTATACAATTGGGACACAATGAAGAGTCAATTGGTGAGTGAGTAAGGGACCGTTCATAATTTAAGGCCCGGGGGTTGGTGGGTGGGTGGGGATTGTTGATGATGATTTTTAAGGAGAAGCATGTACAATGTGAATGACCCCCCACCCCTAAAATTTATGGACAAAGTAAGTGACCCCCCTGCATGTCATGTACAAAATCGATGACCCCCCTTCCCAATCCAATATTATTTAAGTATAATTTTTAAATATTTTTATGTACAAAATTGCTGACACCCCCAGAAACATGTGTACAAAATTGATGACCCCCTACCTCCCCAGAACAAAATGGGTGACCCTTACTTAAAATCATCATCACACCCCTCCCACCCCCTAGCCATAAATTATGAACGGTCCCTAAGTATTGTTTTACGCCACACTCAGCAATATTCCAGCTATATGGCAGCAGTCTGTGTCAATTGTGACACAATAACATGTGTCAGCCTAGACAGCAAGTCTGACCACCTGATCGACTTAGTCGCCACAAGCATGTGTTGCTGAATACCAATTCTAACACGGATCTTTACGAGACACACATTAAACGAAGGCTTATGTCATCAATGCTCTTCAAACATTTCTGCATATAAACTACAGGTATTGACAAGTATGACAAAAGAAACTCATTTTCCACAATGTTTCAAATTCACAAAAATGAAAGTACAATATTAAAACATTGTTGGAAAGCACAACAGTCACTTTCCAAACCTTTTAACACTGATAGACAATCAGCATTTTGTATATACATAATGTGTTTTTCACTAATTATGAAACATATTTTATGAAATTTTAAAATTTAGATCATTTGATGAATTGTCTTCAAAATAATTTATGATGTAGATTGAGTGTCTTTGCTTTTGAATTTTATTTTTTTTTCATAAGCGTAGATGGAGAATATTCAATCGGACCTGTACTTTTATAAGAGAATAATTTTGTTGATCACATCAGGGAATAGTTTTCTACAGTGGCAAAGAAGATCAAGATAAGAAAACCATATATGTTTTCAGGTTGGATGGGAAACATAGAAATACATACGGACA